AACCACTTACAAATTTCTGAAAATGTACGCATTTTAATTAAAAAAGGGTATTAATAACGTTTCATTTAAGTCAGTATTACAAATCGTGGTCTTTATATCTAAATTATAAATAGAGTTAATATTACTTTGACTGTTTTAACAAACAGGGAGACCAGAAAAATCAAATAGCTAAGTTAAAGCTAGGCTACAATTGCTGATTGCTTTATTCATGTAGCTTTTGTGTTAGCTTGTGAACTCCCTGCATTAGTTGTAAGACTGCGTGTTAATATTGATACAATTAGCTATGAAACACGGTGCCTTTGTAATAATTCTCTGGTAAAGATTTAAATGCTATAGTGCCTACATTTACGAACTAAGAACGGTAGCAACAATTAGTTAATTTCATCCTTACCTTTCCTCTTTGAAACCCGCCGAGTATGGTTGAAACAAAAGCGGCCGCCAAAAAAGACCAACTTCTGGCCGAGGTCTTTCGCTCGTCGATTTTCCGGTAAAAGTAATGACACGCCATCTTGTTCTCCCTAGAAAGTTCTTCCGGTGACACGCCAGCTGATGTCTGCAGCCAGGTCCTACTCACTTTTTTGCTGATAATAACTAGTACAGTTATAGTGCTGTAGACATGTGTAGTCATTATTTTAGCATTTTGGTACATTTTCTTTGAAAACTTAAAATCAGCTACCTTCACCTCTTCAATATTCAAAAATATTCTACACAAATTTACAACAGCAGTTTGAAATCTGTCTCGACCAATGGGTGAAACAGCCCACGCAACATAACCAGGTCCCATGTAAGGTGTCGCAGCTCTGTGGCTGTAGGTTATAAAAGCATGGCGGTCTCAGCCACCCCTTGTAGCAGTGGACTCGGAGTAGCCACACGTGAGTGTTTATGCTGTAGCTTAGCTGTTGCTCAGGATTAGCATTGAGCCAGCGTCCTAGCAAAGCTTCTAGTATTATAATCATTTATTTCTAGTAGCTTAACTGTTAGATTTTGTAGTTTGGTATTATTTACATGTGACTCTTTCACCAAATTGATTGAGTTATACTAGGGTGACCATATTTTCATTTCCAAAAAAGAGGACAGGAGATCTGTGCCTATGTGACGTCACACTATGGCAACACCACACAAACCACGTTGGGACCCATTTTTTCCCAGGTGAAGAGCTAAAATTAATATCAGATCCTGCCAACAAAAAGGCTCTAAAACAATTCTTTTGTAAATATTCAGCATATCTATTGAAAAATCTCATTTTCTGCTGCTTAAGTGCTGCAACAACGGTATATTAATAAGAAATTATTATACCTTTTGTTTTACTACAGCATCGGTAAGCTTCCTGTGCACAGATTATTAAGGATGCTTGTTTCAGCTGTGAGATTGACGATAGGGTCAATGATAATTAAAAAACAAGTTTGTCATGGACTCCATGGAAACTTTCAGAGAATCCACAAATAGTGGAATTCACCTCTGGGTCTTTCCCAAATGAAACTAGTGGGTAGGGGCTGAATCAACTGTATTAACATGGCTAAAGTCAATCATATCTTGATGTTCTTCCATTTAACGCAGATTTCATTCATAATATCATAAACACAGGCCTATCATTCTTTCAGGTTTTTCTGAATTGTGTGAAATGGACGAAAAAAAAAAGGAAAAACAAAACGATTTTGTGGTCACCCCCCCCATCAAGGTCAAATTGTTTAGTCCTGACTAAAGGAAACTTACTGAGTCAAGAGCCAAACAGAAGAGATGAACATAAAAAGGCTAAAACCACCAGGTGCCCGATTCAGGAAAAAAGAAAAAGAAAAAAAGAGGAGAAAGATAAAGGTATGTACGCTCTCATGATGCATGTTTTCAATCTTTTGAACCCGTTAACTGGGATTTTAACGGTTACATTCGGTCAACTAATTGCTAACAGAGCTAATAGAACTGAAATATTGAAACGAATATTTAAATGGTTCCAAAAAATTCCTTCGTTTTTTACTGATTCAAACTAGGATTTGTTAAATGCTCGCTGCAGCCTGTGGCCTGCCTGAACAACAACAAACACATGTTGATCATGTTCACATAATAATAAAATAACTCTACAAGCAGAAGAAAACTCCCCAGTCACCACTAACTATCCTGTTTATTTATTGCAGATGGTTGCACTGATTATTTTTTACATGATTTGTTCTGTAAAAGTTGGCATTTTTGGTAGTCTACAGTTTTTTTATGTCAGTTTAAATTACAATTTCAGAGGCAATTGTAAAATATTATGGATCATGATAAAGATCTATTGGAGATCTACCCCAACTTTTGGACTGCTCTGCCAGTCACTGTGGATCCAGCTGAGAGGAGCTTTTCAAAACTTGATCAAGTCATACCTGAGGTCAACTATGTTTCAGGGGTGGCTCACTAACCTGGCTCTGATTAGTATCAATAACTCAGTAGGGGAGCAGATTTCATATGATGACATTATTGATGACTTTGCATCAAGGTTAGGTTTTAAATTTAGTTTGTGTTATCTGTTCTAAGTCCAATGCTGTAGTGATTATCTTTAGTTTGTTATGTGTGAAATATTTTTGCCATTTAGAATATTTATTATATATTATGTTCATATATTCTTAATATTTAGTTATTGTTTGTTTTTGTATATTTGATTCTATATATTTTGATACAGTATATACCGTAAATCCTCTAATACAGGCCCGGGCCTGTATTTGACTCAAGCTCATCAAGCTCCAGGCCTTTATTGGAAGGAGGACCAGAATTAGAGGCAGGCCTCAATTTTTATTTGAGCAAAATTAACTAATGGTTCGCTGGAGTTTTTGACAATTAAAATTGCGCCCACATTTTCAAAGTTAAACACATTTCTTTTAACAACGGTAGTTTCTGCTTCAGCCCTCTCCCCCCTCCCCCTGCTGCAGCGGCCGCAAACTCACTGATGCGCCTGCAGCCTCTCGGAGTTCCTGCTGCTCTAAACATTAAAATAATTATTTCATTTTCTGTTCCTCACTTCTGATTACCTTCAATGGTGTCTGTTTGTTGCAACCAGCAGGTACAAAAACTAACTTGTTTTTATTTGACTATTTTTCTGTCCTGCCTGTTTATTATCTTCCTGCATCTCCTCGCAATCCTAAAGAAAAACTGCTACCTGGGTTCATATATATTCACCGTATGAGTTACCTTTGGACTGCAGTTCTAAAAGATCTACTGACCACAAAAACAGCGGAGTGCTCGCTGCTTGGCAGCCGCATCAGTGATCGTTGCGTCACCGGAGGACAAGGTGATGCGCCCCGCTCCACAGCAGCGAAACGCATCAGGCGCAAATAAAAGACAGAAAACATTAAAGGAAATGAACCGACATGAACGATCGCATGTCAGTACCGATGCTCTGGCACAAAGCGTTGCCCCCCCCCCCCCCCCCGAGCGCAGGAGCTTTTCACCTGCTGACAGCAGGCTGCTGTCTTTTCCGAGGGCTGCATCTTGCCGGTCATTATCACGTGACAGCGACTAGTCGATGACAGGCATAAAAAGTCACTATAGTGAAGTCGACTAGTTCATACAACCCCTATTACTCCCCAGTGTTCTGCAGCGCACGTTCTCTTTGAACTTGATATCAAATTTTCGCCTCCTCTTTGTCTCTGCATGGTTAAAGTTACCCTCGCGGGCTATCACTGGCAAATCAAAAGTGAGACGGATGACACAACCGCCCCCCGTACCTGCTTGTTACCACATTCCACCCGGCCACAATAAGAAACCGGCCATTATTCACCTCCGCCGACTCCGACACCGGCCAAAATATGAGACCTGGCCGTTAATTGAATACAGGCCTGTATTAGAGGATTTACGGTATCTTAAATTAATTTTCACACCATTACACAGGTTACAGTCATAGTGCAAATGCGTAATGTTGAGCTTGTATGTCCCTAAACAGCTACTGTATTTCAAGATGGTGGATGACCATGGAGAATCGACCATAGTTTAGGTATTTAAAAATGTAAAATTTCAAGCTGAGAGGAATATTTCAGAATTGATGTTAGTGAGAAATATGAATTATAAAGGGCAAGTTTGTGAACTGGAAACAGGATTTGATAGAAAACAGGTAAAAATATTACACACTGGGGCTTTAACAACAAATCAAGGCTAAATATTTTTATGAGGAGTGTTTTGTTTTCATGATGATCTATTTCAAGTACAAAAAAAGTTATAAAAACCTAAATGCTGCAGATAACCTACATAAACAGGGTGATTCTGAACCGTTCAGATCAGCAACAAAAATAACATCAAATCCTGCCTGTGAAGCCATTCTGCTCAGAGTTACCGTGTTTTTCTCACGCAAGAAGCCTCTTTCCCACCGAAGGCAGAACGGTTTTCATACGGCTTCCACATGGATCAAAATCCATGAGTCCAATCAGAGCATTTACACATCTCTGCATTTGACCCATCCCCATGGGCAGCGGTGAGCTGCAGCAGCGGCTGTGCTCGGGAAAAGAAACATGCATGTTTGATTAATTTATGACGCCGAATTTTCCCGAAGTGTGAGTGTGTAGCTGGTTGTATGTTTGTCTCCATATGTCCATGTGATGGACATTACACTGGTATTGGTTTCTTCCTGTTAAAAGGGAGCTTTCCTCTCCACTGTCGCTAAATGCTTGCTTAGTATGAGGGTTGCTATAAAGTCACTGACACTAGTCTGTGACTCGATGCAATCTGCTGGGTTCCTTATATAGGAAACTTTTTTCTGATTGGCTTAATGAACTGACCTGTATTGAAATGTTTACTGCGTGAAGTGCCTTGAGACGACTCTTGTCGTGATTTGGTGCTATATAAATAAACTTGAATTGAACTGTGTAATGATTTCAATTACATGTTATTTAATAAGTCATAAGACGTAGGATTCCATAGGAAATATGAAATCAATCTTTTGGCTCTGTTGGGTTATTTTAACTAGAAGATTGGAACTTTTTATTGCAGGGATTAGATAACAGCTTCGTATTCACTCAGAGACAACAGAAGAGAGAGTCAAGTTTAAAGGTTTAAAGATTTATTACTAAACAACTTAAACTAGACTAACTTTAACTAAATGTATGGTGTAACTAAGGTGAATGAGACGGAGAATGGTGTAGTGTGGAATGTTGTTCAGAACCAGCAAATACGAAGAAGCGATTAGTTCTGATGGGAAATGAAGGTGATGTCTTCGCACTAAGCTTTAGTTAGGAGATTCATAAACACATTCGACGCCATTTGTCGGTCTACATACCCTGAGCGGGAGTCCCCGTCTAGATCAGGTGGTGTAAAGGTCCAGCTTGACCTTTGTGGAGCCGAAGCCTGTAGAAACAGCCGCGGCAGCTGACAACCAGTCTTGAGATACTCCCGGGTCACGACAGTTTTGTTGGCATCTAGCGAGACCCAAACTGGGTCGTGATGGTTCAGCTTTTATTCTGAAAGGAACCGTTGCAGCAGTTGGAACAGCAACAGATTTTATCCAGATTGTCGTTGGTTCTTTCGGCTGAAGACGAAAGTTACGGATTGGTCACTCCGACACTTCTCTAGAACGCTTTGAACTGGCGTTAAAGATGACATGGGCATAGTTTTATACTTTGGATGTTTTGGCTTATGGTCGAATGAAAAGATGACAGACTTACCAAACACCACCAAAACCACGCCTCCGTCAGATCTGGCAGATTCTGATTGGATCAGTAAAAGCAATGTGTCATGTCTTAACGCTACGTGAGATCAGTCCTAGTGGAAACATTTAAAGTCCTATTACTTAATATATTCTATAGGATTATAATAAAGTAATCAATATTTTGATTTCACAGATTGGTCACATCGTATTATTGACTAACACTTTGTTTGATTAGCTTTATTAAAAATAGAGTTCTTTGATTTATTAAAAGGAGAGAGTCCATTCTTCATTCTTCTCTTGAGCTGGAAAGAAAGCAGTTTATAGCAAATGCATGAGACCTTGAGGCCATATCTCATGCAGACTAGTTCTGTGTCAGAGGACAGGGGGAAAATGACTTTTGGTGGAAACAGTCATTTCATTCTGTTACATATCCCTCCTTTTCAGTGGTCCGTACAGAGACCACCTGGCGTCCTAAAGGGACTCCGACGACAGGGGAAGGTGCAGTTCCCCAGGAAGAGGCCAACAGTGGTGAGGTACGAACCCCACTCCGAAGAACAGTCTATGGTTTCAACAGTCTTGCATAATCCCTTTGGAAGCACACAAGTCAGCAGATTATTAAGGTATCCACATGGAGGTAATAATTTGAAGCAGGAGCAAAACATATATCCACGGGTAGGGAATACTTCCAAAATAGTATATTGATCTTTGTAATTGCACTTATCGTGATTCAGTGCGGGAAAGAGCAACAGGCAGGTCAGGTCCCAGCGAGCGAGGTATCCCAGCAGCCATGCCGGACCATCATATTTATTGTCAGAGTTGTATCACAATGGTAAAAGCCTTTAGAATAAAGTAATCACAAGGAGGGAAAGACACACTTTTAGATTTCATTATCCAGAGACCAGATGTCCCCTGCTAGTGAATTAGCACTGCTCTGGATGGTTAAAGTCGCCAGGGCCAACTGGCTCCAGAACAGGTCGGCTGTGGCCTTGGAGTTATCGGCCTTCAGAGCATCAAGGTGGTTTGGGAGAGCTTTGAGGGTGTGTGAGCCTACACCCAGCAGGATGTGACGGAACGGAATCTCCCTTACAGAAACGTAGGGAGACAGGAAGTTTCGTTCCACCTACAAAACACAAGACTGGAATTTAGATTTATGTTTTAAATAATGCATTTTTTATAAAAGTCACTAGACTGGTAAAGCAAACAGTTTTACATCATTTTATACTCAGAGCATGGTCAAAGGTGCAGTAGATGTTCTTGGAAAAAGCCATTCAGGCAAGCTACATTTGAAAAAGAGCAAATCAAAGGTCAGCCCCTTTCCTTCAGGCTCCCTAGTCACAGATTTTATCTGATGGTCGTGGAAAATGATACAACACCGGACAAAACCAGTACCGCAAAACAGCCGTGTTAACAAAGCTGGCTTACCTTTTTGGCCATAATTCCTAACACAATACACCTAAGTGACTGTACAACAATTTGGTGTGTCAGCTAATATGGTGTGGCGTTTTATGATGAAAAACATGGCAGTTTTTAGCTTTCTTGGTTTATTTGTAACTTTAAAATTCCAGCAGCTCAGTGCCACCAATAATCTGGGAAAACCCCATGAGCAACAACAGGGTATCTGCAGGTTTAAGGGAGCCAAATTTAAGACTTTTTAAGACCTTTTTTAAGGCCACTTTGACCAAATTTAAGCTATTTAAGCAGGGCAGCAGTGGCTCAACAGGTTGAGCGGTTTGTCCAGTAATCGGAAGGTTGCAGGTTCGATCCCAGCTCCGGACAGAGAATTCTGCTGTTGTGTCCTTGGGCAAGACACTTAACCCACCTTGCCTGCTGGTGGTGGTCGGAGGGACCGCTGGCGCCTGTGCTCGGCAGCCTCGCCTCTACATCGTAGCTCATCACCACCAGTGTGTGAATGTGTGTGTGAATGGATCGATGATACACTGTAGTGTAAAGCACTTTGGAGTCCTTCCTCTGACAGATGCTATACAAGTGCGGGTCATTTATCATTTAAGCTATAATTTCCAGCTATTGCCTGGAACCGGTGCTAACCACGCCGCAATCATGGGATTAGCCATCCAGTTACCATTAAACTTGCCCTTCCCCATGGCTCAAGCTCCCACTAGCTTAACCAGCTAACGTGCTCATCTAAAAATATCCCCCTTTCACAACCAACTGAACGTGTACGGTTCAGTTTACGGCAACATCATACACAAAAATGCTGAACACTAACTAGAAATTCACGAAAATTTTATAGAAATAAAAGAAGTTTGTTTATTGGGTCTTTGGTCATTTAAGACCTCTGGAAACTGTATTTAAGGATTATTTGTAATTTTTAAGGATTTTTAAGGCCTTAAATTTGGAAAAGCTAATTTAAGACTTTTTAAGGACCCGCGGATACCCTGAACAAGTCAAAACTTCCAGAGCCTGCCCTGAACCTCCCAGATGCCCCCCCCCCCCCCACCCCCCACCCCCCCCCCCCCCACACACACACACACAGAGCCCGGCTCTGGCCTAGTTTCCTGTTTAGCTGCTCCAAGCTGAGACTGCCCTGTTTGTGGACAGAGGCAGAAGGGATGGTCAGAGGGCAGCTCACAATAATTGGATGAAGTTTTTCAACAATTTTTCATTTCAGATGCAAAATAATTATATAATAATAATTTATTGGTTGTCATTGGTATACGAAGAGTATTTCAAGAAATATGGCCAAAAAAAAAGCTCTAGAAAAAGTATTTTATTGTATCTTCAAGGAACAAAACAATCTACCCTATGGGGCATGAACAAATTAAGAGTAATCCTGGAGTTTTATAGAGCTTACCATCATGATCTGGTCATTGATGATACGACACATCTTGATGTCATCCAGGTTACTGTTCTGGATGTTTGTTTCCAGGATACGAGAGGCACGACTGAAGGAGGCTGCTGCTAACACCAGCCACTGTAGGGTCAGGGCATTTGGCAACAGCTGAGGAAGTACACACAGACACATCATAGATCAAATGTTTTTCTAAATATTCATTGTCTATGATATTTTTTTTTTGTATCTTCTGAGACAATTCTTTCCTTCGCCTCCTCTGCTCCATGTTGAGTGTGGTACACGCCATGTCACCAAACAACACAGTGACTACCTGGAGCCCTATGAAAGCCCACCTACTGATTGCAGGATTTCAGACACCTGTGATGTTAATTAGTGGACACACTTTGAATTAACATGCCTCTTTGGTCACATTATTTTCAGTCTAGGACTACCATCTTGTCCAGGCCTGTTCCATGACTTTATTTTTTAAATAATTCAGTTGAAGCATGGTTGAAAAGCAATATCTGACGTTCACTGATTACATTTCATAGAATTTTTCTTTATTATTATTATTGTCAGATTCAAGTTACCGACCGCGAAAGGGAGGCTTGCCAACTCCAGGTCGGGGGAGAGGTCCTACCTCAAGTGGAGGAGTTTAAGTATCTCGGGGTCTTGTTCACAAGTGAGGGTAGGAGGGATTGGGAGATCGACAGGCGGATTGGTTTGGCGTCTGCAGTGATGCGGACGCTGAGCCGATCTGTCGTGGTGAAGAGGGAGCTGAGCCAGAAAGCCAGGCTCTCGATTTACCGGTCGATCTACGTCCCAATCCTCACCTATGGTCATGAGCTTTGGGTAATGACCGAAAGAACGAGATCGCGGATACAAGCGGCCGAAATGAGTTTCCTCCGTAGGGTGGCCGGGCTCAGCCTTAGAGATAGGGTGAGGAGCTCGGACATTCGGGAGGGACTCGGAGTAGAACCGCTGCTCCTCTGGATTGAAAGGAGCCAGTTGATGTGGTTTGGGCATCTGGTTAGAATGCCTCCTGGACGCCTCCCCAAGGAGGTGTTTCGGGCATGTCCTGCCGGCAGGAGGCCCCCGGGTCGAGCCAGGACACGTTGGAGAGGTTACATCTCCAATCTGGTCCAGGAACGCCTTGGGGTCCTGCCGGAGGAGCTGGTGGAGGTGGCCAGGGAGAGGACGGTCTGGAGCTCCCTAGTTGGGATGCTGCCCCCGCGACCCGGACCCGTATAAGTGGAGGAAGACGACGACGAGATTCAAGTTATTTCTGTGACCATTGTGTGTTTTTCTTTTATTAACCAAAGAACACCAACAATTTTGTGCAGGTCTGTATATTATGAACATTGCCTATAGAGCTCCGGGAGTTGACGTCACGTTTCCCGGCATGCAACAGTTCAAATCGAAACTGCGCCATTAGGCAGGCAGAAGCCGGCAGCTGGGCTATTTGTTATTGTCAGAAAACTCAATAAAACAGGAAATATGGTAGATTCCTGTTGTGCCCCAGGATGCAGAACAGACACGGACGACATAAGGAATGAGCCATCTACAGGATTCCCCAAGATCCGGAGCGCCGCAAACGTTGGATCACTGTAATAAAACGCGCTAGTGACCGGACTAAAATGAAACTGTGGGATCCCGAGAGTAAAGGTTTTTGCTTATGCAGCGACCGCTTCATATCAGGTACTTAAACCAACATTTCCTCAACTGGGTATGGTGTTTATTTTAAATGCTTTTATTACGATTCTTAGTGGGCTTCCTAAACTTATTTTGGCGTGGCTTTTTCTGTCTTATTACTCATAGCAACAAGTAAACATCACGTAAAACGTTGCCTCGTGATTTCTGCGTGCTGCCGTTTCCGTGTTTTATGATCACAGCAATTAACCGGCTAAGCTGTATTTAATTTTTAAGCAATGGTTGATCAATTGTCAGATCACACATAAAAAGCACTTTGGATTGCTATTATCTGTCTCACCGAGGCAGATCTCAGACAGATCCTGAGACGCTCCTACCTGACATATTTATTTTATTCACGGAAAAAAAAATCAAACTAGTGATTTCTCTTGGTGTTCAGTTTATACATTCACAGCACTCTATTTAAACTACTTACATATAAATCTGTTATTTGTCCATCCATCCATCCATTTTCATCCGCTTATCCGGAGTCGGGTTGCGGGGCCAGTAGCGTCGAGAGGCCCTGACCTCTCCCCAGCTCCTCCGGCCAGGGGAATCCCAAGGGGTTCCCCGGCCAGGTCCGGTAAGAAGTCCGCTCCGACAGCTTCTGGCATTTTTAAAAAGAATCCCAGGAGCACGGTAAGGGTCGGAGATGTTTAGTCTAATTAATTTCTGACTATATAAAACGATTTCTTCGGTTTTAAAGTGTGAAGTAAACTCCGACGAAGTAAAATCCAAGCGGATCCCATTCACGTTCATGGTTACATCCGTGTTTGTTTACCTTTTTTTCCTGCCAAAATGGCATCTACTGAGAGTCACGTGGGGTCCAGAGCTCTATATGAATAATATCATCAGCGAAAATCGACAATGCAACTTACCACGGCATCTTCAATGGACTTCACAGGTAACCTTAAGAGACTACGGGCCAAATCCAGTGGGATGTACTGATTGGTGGGCACTGGGAAGGGGTGGGATAGGTGGGTTTTGAACAAGGGGCAGCCACAGAGGGTTTGTTCGTATTTTTTTATGTTCATTGGTTTTGAATTGATATGTAATAAACAAGAAGTTTGTTCTTAAGTGTTTGGTATATTATGGTATTGTTGCAGCTTACAAATAAAATGAATGACACAAAAACAACGGAAAGAAGTTCTGAGCGTTCAACTGTAGGTACGCCCTTGCAAAGCCAGCCCTACTCTGCACTCACAAATACGTTTTGACTGTTTGGCGGCGGGTACTAGAAACCTATTGGTCCTTATTTTATTGGTCACTTGAAAAACTGATTTATAGGAGGGCAATGGAGTGTGACTGGCAGCTGTTGTTTACATAAAAACAGACATACAGTTTATTTTTATTCTTTACTTTTAACGGGCTTGGAGAGTAGGAGATTTCATAAAATGCTGCTGCTTTTTTAATGCCTGCTTCTTGTGAAAAAAATAACTATCTACCATACTACTTCAAACAACACATGGCCAACCAAAGTGCTGCACACCAACAAGCATAAAACATAAAAAAAGTTATACAAAAGACGTATAGGAAATGTTTGTGTCACCAAACTGATGTCATTGAACCGCACAGGGAGGTGAGGATAAGATTGGTTTAGTGATCGTTGAATCTTTCCTCCAGGACGACGGGAGTATTACACGTGGAGAAAACCACTATAGATCTGGCCATGTGGTAGCTAGCAGCTACAGTGGGGTAAAGAGATTCTGCAGCAACGTCCTGTACATCTGATTTGTTCTCATTTTAATTATGAATTTTTACAAGCTAATAAATCTTAAAGTATGTGACAGACATAGCCGAAATACACATCGATCTTTTAATTTAAATTGATGCGCAACATCTGTGTGATTCAGAGCATAAGGCAAAGCAAATTAGAAAATAGCTTTTATTGCTCCATTGACTTTTCATTTTATTTTCTTCCAGGGACCCGTAAGCCGACCAGAAGGGGAGGAAACTTAAGCTCCCCAAAGCGCTTACTATAGATGCTGACATCAAAGTTATGCCCTCCTGCTTCTAATCAACACACAATAGAACCTAATGACTCCGATGACTCCCTAGCCTGGCCTGCCAGACTCGTCCTCTGTTCTACACAGAGACTAGTCTGGTTACTCACAAGCAGAGAGGCCCATGAGGGGCGGGACTAGCCAGCTCAAAAATAACCAATCAGAAAAAAGGCGGAAATGCCGAATGTGCCGTGTGACTCTGTAGTTTTTTAGACGTAAAAATGGCGTCTGGCGACGGCGCAAACATCTTTTTTTAGAAGAAAGGCTTTTAACGCTTTCTTCTTGTTGTGGTTTTAAAGACATTCAAGTAATTTAGAACAGAGGAAAGAGCCGCAGTGAACTCCGATTCAGTCGCCATGTTTTTGAGAAACCCAGCGTCTGGGTGTGCGACTGACATACGCTGCTTAGCACTGATTGGCTCAGTTTGAATTCTCAGGGGGAGATTTCCCAGATCCATTGCTTCCCATAAGGAAGCATAGAGCTGGCTGGCCAAGGTAATGACTCCCCAGGAGGTAGGGAAGAGGAATATTTGCACATAGTTTCAGCTTGTTAAACAGCAATAGACAGCTACAGTTTATAAACTTGACTCTCCCATATTCCAGTCAGAAGTGATAGAGCTCCACAGATAAGAAGCAAGAGTCATCAAGAAACACCAAAACCAAAAGTGAAACTTATCTCCTTGCTGTGCCTTTTTAACACCTTATCTAATAGCTGAAATGTCTCCTCAGCCTTCATTAGTGTCTACAGGAGTGACTCACCATTAAATATAACAATTCAGCTGTGTTCATGATCTAAAAGGGTTAGGGTTCCAGCAGGAAACATGCTGGAACCAGACTGCAGCCACGTATTTCAGTTCCACTTTTACTAAATCCAACAGGAGGTGCCACTCTGAAGTTGCAAGTGCAATAATCTGGCCACAGAGGCTGGTGGGGGTCTGAGTGACATTTCATTAACCCTGTAAAGGGTCATTTAGCACATACTGGCTCAAGAAAATGTTTTAAAAATACAAAAAATTTGCATGGTAAGCTGTTAAAAGATAAACTCACAGCCAGGAAATGGGTTTCACTTTTGCTTTTACAACAGTGATGTAATAATGGACTCTAGGGGGTGCTAAAAACAAGCCAAAACTGCAAGTTTAAAGGTGGAATATGGAAGTTCCATAATGGAACAATCTAATAAAAACCATTTTGATAAAAACGAAACCTCCATGGGGGGTTTAGAGCTGTGCAGAATTAAGCTACAGTATTTCCTTTAAAAGCTATATTATAATTAGAACATATTTATTTTGATGGGCACAACACTGGGTTCATGTTTACATCTACCAGCCAATAGATGGCACCATTCCAGGTTTCTGAACAATGCTTAGCACAGAAAGGATGGCACTGTGGAAAATGGCTGACTCAGCAAGTCATGCAGCTGCTCCCAGAAGATGTTGTTATCCGTCTCAGTAGAACAACGATTATCAAAGATTGAAAATCAGAGAGAGTTTAGGTGAAGCCTACAACAGATGGACCCAAATAAAATATTTCACATATCAACAACGAACCTGGTATCCCGACAGCTGAAAACATTGATCAGTTTTTGCAACTACAACCTCTTCTAGATGTCGCTTTGGTGTTCATGTTCTATATTCAACCTTTAACTCTGGCCACAGCTCTTTACCAGCCTGTAAAGTGATGTTGCACATTATAGAGACCAGTCTGTTCTGTCAGGATTCAAACCCACAACCTCATGGCAACCCAACTCATGTCTCGAATGACGCTGATATCTCCTCCTGCTTGAAGTAGGCCCACACGAAGATGAGCTCTGATGGTTATAATGGGCTAAAACTATTTGAGGCTATGGTGCAAAGAGTCAATCACCAGATTTTCACTGATGAGCATGGCTCCAAAGCCTAGCTCTAAGTGGATGTCTGCTTTTTCTATTACAGGTGAGTTAGCTCATTACTGTGGTGTGGTTCCATCCAAATCTTTGGCTTGCTGTTACACTGATCTCTTTCCTGAGACCAAAACTATGGAAACATTTAAATCCTTTTTAAATTGAAGTAAATCCTGGCTTGAAAGAGCTCGACTCACCTTTTGAACAGCCTTTATCTTTGCATTGATCTTCGCCACATTAAAGCGGATGACCTTGTCGTACTTCCTCAGGTTCATCTGCAGCAGATGGTCATGGACCAGCCTCAGCGCTATAGAACCTGCAAACCGACCGGCGGCTGCAGCCAGCTGAGGAACCTGACTGGACGTAGCAGCGTTCAGTTTCTCTTGGGTGTCCAACAACGTCCCCAAGTATTGATAGCTCTGGGGAGGAAACAAAGAACAATCTTCAGACCGATCAGTAAATAAATATTTTACGTGGAGAATGAACGACTTACCGATCTGCCTGAGGTGAATCGGAACGACATTGAGGGAATTCCAGAAAAGGCAAGGAAAGGATAGGCAGTGTTATCCATCTGCATTGGCTCCAAACTGTAACAGAAAAGAATAAAGCCCCAAAGAATGAACTAAACATGTCAGATGTGGCTCCAGAAGTACGAAGACAAGTTTGTGACCGTTTCATTTCAGACTCACATATTTGACTCCCAGTCGCTTTTTGCAAATTGAGAAGAAAGAGACTTATCCTCGTAGTAAACCTGCAAAATAATTTCTCATATTTGTCTCACACCGATAAAAAGGGATCAATAAAGCCGGGTGTACACTGTGCGACTTTTTCACTTTTTTGAGCCGATTTTCCACTCGTGCGAGAATCCACGAGATCGGGGCGAGTTTTGCGCCGAGCGGTCGTGTAGTGTACAGGGGGTTACGAGAGGCGATTAACACCACGTGACCAGCTACCGATCAATCGTGAGCTTGCACGGACTTCTGGCGTGTTTAATATTTTGCTCGTCCCTCGTGAGGGTATCGCACTGTTGAAGCGGCGCTGCGAGCAGCTGCGACCCAAAATGTATCAGAACCGCTCATGGCGCATGCGCAATCCTGCATCAACACCGCTCGCCCGCTATTTCCCTAATAACACACGTTGTTCGTTTTTATTTCTACACGTTTTTTTACTCACAAAGATTGTCAAGAAGGCGTGTTTGACGTGTTCATGTCAAATGAAACTGATCACAAAACACAGATTTACTTTCTTTATTTCGTTTTCCTCATCCAACCCCCATAAATCCCTGTGTGTCCTCCTGCAGCACTCCCGAAGGACAACAGGCAAGACAAGACAAAAAAGTCTGACGTGTTGAGTAAAAACTGCTATTTTTAGCAAATTTTTAGGGCTTACGTGTTGCTACCAGACGTACAGTGTGAGCAGTTAGGTCACAACCGAGAACTGGGTCGTACAGTGTGAGCACATGACTCGTGAGATCTGCCCTGCGAGGAAGTCGTACAGTTTGAGCTGAAGCTGAGTGCTACGAGTGAAAAGGTCGCACAGTGTACGCCCGGCTTAAGACGAAACTTTTACTCAGGATTTACCTCATTCAAGGCTTTTTCAATCAGTGTGTGCATCAAAGGACTGGCTGCTACTTTAAATCCATTCCGACCTGAAAATAAATAACTTATTTGTAAAATTATACAACGTGATGTTAATATTTCATGTTTTCTAGATGTTGAACTGAATCTGAAGCTGGTGTAAAACCGTCACAGTGAGTACCTGTCACAATGCCGTCCAGGTTGATGTAGGAGAAAGCTTTCATACCCAGAGAAGATAAATATCCCTACGATAGAAAATAACACATCAGTAACTCTTAAAGTCTGCTTTGGAGTTCTACAGGTGGTCACTGAGAAAAGGTCCAACTTTAAAGATTCTAACCTCCAACCACTCGGTGGCGCCAACACTTCCGTATTCTCCTGCACTCCAGCTGGCAAACACGATGCTCCTCCTTGGCTTAAACCCATCTGTCAAACAGTGAGAAGGTGTTTGTTTCCATGAAAACAAGAAGTTGCTTAACATTTTGTTCCATCTGACATTAAACCCAGCTGATGCGTACCATGCTCCACCATGTCTGAGACCGAACGCGCCAGTTCCACCAGGACGCTGGTACCAACGGTTGATGCAGCGAAGCCTGGACCCCACGCGTCCCTCTGGGCACCGATAACCACGTATCGGTCTGAACCCAGGGAGAAGATGCCATCATTCACACTGAACTCAGCAAACTCTTGTCTCTCTTGTTAAATTAGAACTTCATTCTGATTCTGATTCATTTTACCTGCATCCACTAAACCTTTGACGACCCCAAACACGTTGTTGATCTTCTTCTCAGTTAGAAAGTTGTTGACCTCCACACTGATCGTGTCATTCTCATTTCCCAATTTGTGGAAACCTTCCCATCCTTCAGGAAGACTCTGACCACCAAGCTTCCTGTCACAAGCAGACCGACAACGACAATGCTTTCAAACAGACTTGAATCTGCACTGAAGGGCCTTGAGTGTCTGTCTGTGCTTGTTTTTGTCTTCTTAAACTTTTGCTTTGCACTATCTTCCATTGGGAAAGAGAAGGAAACTCATCTGTGAGTAATCCTGTTGTCTAGTAGCTCCGGTTTGGGCAAACTGAAAACAATAAGTGCAATCAGGGGTCGTGAACGAGCTGTTTCTCCCCTCCCTGAAAACACTCATCAGGTGATCTAGGTCCCAACCATTGCAATCAGCAGCTGCATGAACACCTGTTTCCAACTAGTAGCACAGCATAAGTTTGGTGGCATAACTGATGCGTCAGCGGAAGCGTCAGCCCTTGTGTCTTAGCCCTTCCGGTGTGAAGACACTCCATGGTAAAGACATACATGTCTACCTGCGCATGTCCACAGAGCAGGTACACAGAGCAAACAAACTCGACCCAGACGCTGCTCCATCGACACCTTGCAAAATGTGCCGTTATCCTATACCAGTGATTACTGGCTTCAGAGGAAGGTCACACACAGCAAACTGCTTTCGCAACCTTCAAAACTTCCGCTCGCTAAAACCAGCTCCCCTCGAAGACACCCACCTGTCTATGGGATTTTGGAACTGCCAATCAGCTGTAAACAAAGCAGACTTCATTACTGCATATATAAAAACCACCTGTCACTCGATGCACTGGCTCTTACCGAGACCTGGATCAAACCATGTGACAATGCTACCCCATCTGCTCTCTCAGTTAACCACACTTTCTCCCACACTTCTCGTGCATCTGGCCGAGGTGGTGGAACGGGCATGTTAATTTCCAACAAATGGATATACAGTCAGTGGCTACCCATCACTAAATACAACTCCTTTGAATACCATGCCTGTACCGAAAAAATTCTTTTTGGTTGTCATATATCGACAACCAGGTCAACTCAAGAGACTTTCTTGATAAACTCGACCCCCTGCTCTCCTCCATTCCTGAGCACGACTGTCCCACAATGGTCCTTGGAGACATGAATATTCACCTGGACAATCCCAGCTTCCTGTCACTAATGTCATCATTTGATCTAAAACTAGTACAAAGTCCTCCAACTCACAAAGCTGGAAAAGCACTTGACCTCATTTTCACCAGAAACTGTGTCATAGACACAATCTCTGTCACACCGCTGCATCTCTCCGATCATTACTTCATCCATTTCAGCACGACTCTACAACGGAGGTCCACTGCTTCCTCCCCAATGGTCTCATTCCGCTGCAACCTCCGCAATCTGGCACCCAACCACTTCTCCTCTCTTGTTGCCTCCACTCTTCCATCTCCCAGCACATTCTCTGCTTATGAAGTGAATGATGCCACCGAGTCACTCTGCTCCACACTCTGCTCTTGTCTTAACAACTTGTGCCCTTTAGCCACTAGACCTGCTAGATCCTCTCAGTCACACCCTTGGCTAAATGATACCCTCTGGTCTCAACGCACCAATCGTAGAGCTGCGGAACGAAAATGGTGCAAAACAAAAGATCCTGGTGATCTATTGAAATTTCATGAATTACTGTCCTCATTCTCTGCCAGCATCACTGATGCAAAGAAAGCTTTCTACACTGACAAAATTCTCAGCTCTACTGACTCTCAGAAACTATTTTCAACATTCAAAACTCTGCTCACCCCTCCACCTCCTACCAACAATCTATCAGCAGACATCTTTGCCTCATTCTTCACTGACAAAGTGGCAGCTATAAGCAAACAGTTTACTCAACTGGCCACTCCTGAACATTCGCTACCACAAACCCCTTCTAGCCCAACCATCTCAAGCCCTACTGCTTCATTTTCCTCTTTTTCCCCTCTCACTCAGAACTGTGCGTCCAAGCTTCTCACGTGCAGCCACCCTCCTACATGCCCACTTGACCCCATTCTGACTATGCTGCTCCAAGCTATTGCTCCTACAGTAGCCGCAGCAGTCACACATGTAATCAACGCTTCACTGACATCTGGTACATTTCCCACCTCTCTCAAGCATGCTCAGGTTAAATCGCTGCTAAAAAAAACATCTCTTCCTCCAAATCATGTGGAGAACTACAGACCTATCTCTCTTCTCCCTTTTCTGTCCAAAATCATTGAAGGGGTGGCTTTCAAGCAGATTACAGAATACCTCTCACAAAACTGTCTGCTTGACCCTTACCAATCTGGGTTCAAAAAGGGCCACTCCACTGAAACTGTTCTGTTAGCAGTGATGGAATCCTTAAAAGAAGCTAGCGCGACTGCCAAATCCTCAGTGCTTATCCTGCTCGACTTATCGGCTGCATTTGACACTGTCAACCATGACTTCCTTTTGTCCACACTCTCTAGCACGGGCCTCACAGAGAAAGCACACGCCTGGTTTGAATCGTACCTCACAGGACGATCATTCAGTGTATCTTGGCTTGGACAATCCTCTACCGTGCACCATCTTGCCACAGGAGTCCCCCAGGGCTCTGTACTAGGACCTCTTCTCTTTGCCATATACACCACCTCACTGGGTGAGATCATTCGATCACATGGCTTCTCCTACCACTGCTATGCAGACGACACCCAGCTCTATCTGTCATTTCCACCGGACGACCACACTGTCTCTGCACGAATATCAAACTGTCTCTCTGACATATCAAAATGGATGAAATCCCACCGTCTCCAACTCAACCTCTTTAAAACTGAACTACTTGTTATCCCAGCAAAACCATCCATACAGCACAATATCTCAATCCAAAATGGCTTCCTATCTCTGGCTCCTTCAAAGGCAGTTCGAAATCTAGGTGTTTTGATTGATGAACACCTGATCTTTAAAGATTATGTTGCCTCTGTTGCTTGATAATGCCGCTTTGCGCTGTATAACGAAAGATCGTATATGCTGTATAAGAAAGATCAGACCATACCTAACACAACATGCCACCCAGCTCCTGGTACAATCTACTGTCATCTCCCGCCTCGATTACTGCAATGCCCTTCTAACTGGTCTTCCAGGCTGTACTGTGAGACCTCTTCAAATGGTCCAGAACGCAGCGGCGCGTCTGGTCTTCAATCAGCCAAAAAGAGCACACGTCACCCCTCTGTTCATTGAGCTCCACTGGCTACCGCTAGCAGCACGCATCAAATTCAAATTGCTAACACTAGCATACAAAGTTCAAGATGGTACGGCTCCCATCTACCTGAATCCTCTTGCAAAGGCTTACGTCTCGGCCCGGCCGCTCCGGTCATCACAGGATCGTCGGCTAGCAGTGCCTACACCACGCTCAGGACAATCCAGACTCTTCTCATGCATCGTTCCACAAATGTGGAATGACCTTCCAAGCACTACCAGAACAGCGGCTTCCTTTTCAATTTTCAAGAAACTCCTGAAGACCCTGCTCTTCAGAGAGCATCTTCTTAACTAGCACCCTCCCTGCACCCGTCCCCCCTCTCTACTGTCCACTCCTTGTTGTTGTTATTGTTAGCCTCAAGGGCAACATGCCGATTATCACTTGTAAGTCGCTTTGGACAAAAGTGTCTGCTAAATACATAAACATGAACATAAACATAATGCTACACAACTGATTCTGAAATCAGAGAGCAGGATAAATGTTTGATTAGAGCTTTACCACAGAATTTTGGTTGCCATAGCGCTGGTGATGGTCTGAGCTGGGATGTTTGGCAGTCCTGAAGGCTCCACAGGAGGGAACTGGGTGTGATTGATGGAGGGAAAGCCTGGGGTGTAGGGATCACCAGAACCCAGGTGGACCTGTAGGCGACTACATCTTAGATGTGAAAATGAGCAGCAAACTTTAAAGCCATTATTTGTACAGTACCAGTCAAAATTCTGGACACAGCTACTCATTCAAAACACTTTTTGCAGGCCCTTCCAAATTTTTAATATACTTATAAAATGCAACTACAGTGAATTATGTGAAGTTAAAAGTTTAAAATCAATGTTTTGTGAATAAATCAGTTTTGGTAACAATAAGGGTTCTGTTATTAACGTTACTTAATACATTATTAGGCATGTTAGTGCATTATTAGGCATTTATAAACAGTTTAATAAAGTACTAACAACTGCTTAACCATATAAATTATAAATGACCCGCATTTTTATAGGGCCTTTCAGAGTCAGAGGACTGTTTACAAGTGTATCATTCATCCATTCACATGCTAATGGTGATGAGCTACTATGTAGCCACAGCTGCCCTGGGGCACACTGACCGAGGTGAGGCTTTTCAGCACACCACCGGTCCCTCCGACCACCACCAGCAGGAAATCCCCTAATTAGTCTAAAACTTGGTCATTTATCCTCTGCCGTCCAGACGGACTTAAGGAATTTGGGTGGTGTTTTTGACCAATTAATGTCTCTTGAAGGCCACTCAAAAACATTGGTTCAAAACAGTTTTTATCACTTAGGAAATATCTCCAAACTGTGAAGGTTGGTGTCAAAACATGTATTTGTTCTAGGTGTCGTACTCGCGGGGACCGGGCTTTCTCAGTACTAGCACCGTCACTACGGAACCAGTTGCCACCCTCAGTTAGGCTGTCCCCATCTCTGCCAGTCTTCAAGAGCCGCCTAAAAACACACCTCCTCCGCTTGGCGTTCCCTGAATGTATTTGAGTTAGGCCATCATTTATGTTGATTTTATCTCACAGTTTTCACTGGTTCAATTTTTCCCTTGTTTTACACATTTGTCTTCTACTAGAATGTTTCACCTTTTTTGTAATTTGTTATCTGTAATTTGAATTGCTTTTTATTTTCTGATTTATTCACTTTATTTGACTTTGTACGGTACAGTGTTCAGCGCCTTGGGCTTCCTGACAGGGTTGCGGAAGGCGCTTTATAAATAAAGCTTTGATTTGATTTGATTTGAAAACATGAACTTGAAATAGTTATCCATGCCTTTATCTCCTCCCGTCTAGATTACTGTAACACACTCTCGACTTGACCTTTATTTCGAACTAACGTAATAAACATTTTTTATACAACACGACACAAAAGCAATCAAATAAAGTCCGAAAAGGAGAAGTTAGAAGTAAAACTTGTACATTCCTACCCCCTTATTCTTATTCAATTTATCTCAACAAAATTTTAAAATTAAGAAACATAGGTATATAAAAATAACAATAATACAGAGTAACAAATAGATTAAACATCCTCAACAATCAACTTCTTGTATTATTCCATCTAACCCAACTCATCATCATAATTATCCAATAGATGTTTCTTGTAGCTCTTCTTAAATTGATTTACCTTTACACATTTTTTCAAATCTTCACTCAGATTGTTCCATAATTCAAACCCACATATGTACACATATTCATCTTTGTTGCCCGAACTCTGTTTTTTATGTTTATTTTATGTTTATTTATTTAGCAGATGCTTTTATCCAAAGCGACTTAAAATTTCTAACCTATAGGGCATGTTGTGATCTGTGGAGGAAACCGGAGTACCCGGAGGAAACCCACGCATGCATGGGGAGAAAACGCAACTCCACGCAGAAAGGTCGCAGCCGAGTTTCGAACCTGCGACCTTCGTGCTGCGAGGCAGCAGTGCTCACCACTGCGCCACCATGCAGCCACAGCATTTTTGAAGTTTAGTGTCCCTCTTAAATTGTACCCATCGTCTTTATCATTGAACATTTTCTGTATATTACATGGAAGTCATTTATTTCTAACATAATTACTGCGGTTTCAAACTTTATCAAATCAATAAATTTTAACACTTGTAATTTTAAAAACTGTGTTGTTGTGTGTTCCCTATATCCCACATTATATACTATCCTTATTGCTCGTTTATGCAGTATGGACAGTGATTGTAGATTACTCAGGTATGTGTTTCCCCAAAACTTCCACACAGTAATTCAAGTATGGCATTACCAGTGATGAAAACAGAATATACAATGATTCTTGGTTCAGTAAATGTTTTATTTTACCCAAGACGCCAATGCTCTTTGCCAATTTTGTTTGTATATATTTAATATGTGGTTTCGAGCAACAGCAACAGAACATTGTTAACAGAACCCTTATTGTTGACAAAAAGCCCTTGACCGCCTTCAGTTGGTCCAGAACTCTGCAGCGAGGCTCCTAACTGGAGCAAACAGAAGAGCACACATCACTCCTGTTCCATTTTTGGTTCTTTTTTAAAACACAGATAAGAACCAAAAATGGAATTTGAAGACAAATACAGCAAGAACGTTCAAAAGACATCACTCCTATTTTGATGTCTCTGCACTGGTTACCCGTTCACTTTAAAGTTAATTTTAGAATCCTCACTATAACTTTGCTCTACGTGGTCAAGCTCCTCCCTGTATTACTGAACTGTTAAAGCCTTATGCTCCAACCCGAGCCCTCAGGTCCACACACCAGAACCTTCTAGAAGTTCCAAAGACGAGATATAAAAGTCGAGGTGATCGCGCCTTTCAGACTGTTGCACCCCGACTTTGGAATGATCTTCCTTTTTCCTTAAAAACAGCTAAAGACCCTTTTATTTCAAGCTGCTTTTACCTAAATGTTTTATTTTCTTATTTTTAACTCAAATTTGTAATCATTCTCTGTTTATGAAATTTTATAATTTTATGAGTATGTTATTCTGATGTTAATCTATTTCTGTTTTGAGATCATTGTGATTTTATGACTTTGTTTTATTTTGTTTTGATCTATGTGAAGTACTTTGTGATTCTGTCTGATGAGTGCTATACAAATAAAATGTACTTACTACTACTTACAACAGCCGCATTCTCTGCCGGGATCAAACCCACAACCTTCCAATTAACTCTTTGTCCTAACCTTAAGGACACTTAATACTGGGAACTTTAATGAAGGGACTCTTTGTTTATTACTGCTTAATATTGCACTAAGTAACATTAATAAAGGGACCCTTATTGTAAAGAGTTACCACAGTTGGTCTTAAGAGTCAGCAGAGGGAGCTCTAATACCAACTTGACATTTCTCTGATGATCCCTGATGATCTCTCACCAAGTGAGTTGCTTTAAGCAGAGATGAATGAACGTACTGTTTCGACCAGTGATGCAAACCTGGTGAAGTCTGGCTTCTGTCATTGCAAACCAAGGTTATACTACAAAGTATTGAGGTGAACTTTTTTTATTGACCAAATATTTGTTTTCTGCACCAATATACAAATAATTTTTCTAAAAGTGATATAATGTGATTTCCTGGACTTTTTTACATTCTGTCTCTCACAGCTGAAGTGTGCCTATGATGAAACTACAAACCTCTTTCATCTTTTTAAGTGGGACGACTTCCACAGTCAGTGGCTACCAAATGCATGAAAACACATCTAGCCCTATTGTAGATCCTTGTGGTTAGCAGCGCTCTATAAACAGCTAACGCAGTGCTTACACCAAAGGAAGATCTATCATTCTTCAGTGACTTGGAGCATCCTGATGTCAAAAGAGTTTACGAACACCCTTATGGATGAACCTGGTGTTCATTTTAAAAAAGACCAGCACAATCTTCCAACAACTAGAAGATTAATTCATTTAGAATCTGCACCGTTCTAATGGGCACAATTACTGCGTCTATAAACACGTAAAAGTACCTAATAAACTGGACACATCACCAGTAGAATTTGCCCCACTCACATGTCCATAGAGGTCCGTGGTCTCTCCAATAGAGTAATCAGCGGGGTCGGGGTAGATCAACACGGCCGAGGCGTTCACTTTAGCAGCATTGGCCACCTGTAAACAGCAGGTGGTCGAACTACATAAACTCAGAACAAAAATGTTTCTTTCTAAACTAAATTCATCTGCTTTTAGAAAAATACTTCATGTCAATTTGACAAAGAACTTTACATTCAGTTTTTTCCTGTTTTTAAAGCACTGACCTTCTCAGCAAAGCTGATCTTTCCAGCTCTGACCAGCATGACTCTGCCGTTCATGTTGATGTTCTTGTCCCTCAGTAACCTAAAGTCACTCTCCTGTCCATAACAAGCGTACAGCGCTGCACCCTGAACACACAACAAGAACTCGGTTAGCGGCTCTTTGTGTCATGTTGCGGGTGTGGAGATGATGGGCCACGTGTGGTGGAGAGTTCAGGAGGCAGGAGAGCAGGCACGGATGAAAAATAAAAATGGTTTTAATGGTGGAACGGGAGCGACAGGACAAAACAAGCACACGCACATACAATGATCCGACGAAGACTGGTACAAGACGGGAGGTATAAATACACTGGGGAAGATCAGGAACACATGGGCAGGTTAACGAGGGGCAGGTGAGAACAATAAGGACTAATCAGGGCAGGAGAGAGACACAGTCAGGAAGGCAAGGGCAGATCGTGACACTTAGGCCCTGTCCACACGTAGCCGGGGATCTGCCAAAAGGTAGATATTTTTCTACGTTTTGGCCTGTCATCCACACGAAAACGGAGTTTTTTCACACGAAAACGGATCTTTTTAAAAACTCCGGCCAAAGTGAAGATCTGCGTTTTCTCCGTTTTGGGTGTCTGCGTGTGGACAGACAAAACCGGAGTTTTAAGGTCCGCAACGTCACTTTCCGCGACCGAAAAATGCTGACATCACGTGTGCGACCTGTGTTTACACTGGCCGACAGCATGGATGCCCTCAGAGCTGCGCTCGCTTTATTAGTTGTCCAAGCGCTTTTTGCTTGTTTGTTTTTGCAAGCGGAATTACTGCTCCTTGCGGAAGACCACAGACGAAGGACGAGGTTAAGAACGGGGGAAGTACTGCCGCCTACAGGTCTGGCATGTCCTTAACAACGTATTTATCCGGGTACGTGTGGACAGTTTCTTTTTTAAACGAGGTGGTGTGGATGCAAGTTTTTGGAGGGGCGGATATTCGTTTTAAAAAAAAAAACGGCTACGTGTGGACTAGGCCTTTGTTTCACTTCTTCCATTTTCCTCCCAGTAGCTGAATCTGGGACGAACCTTCACCGATCCGTTGCCGCTGTAAGACAAGAAGCCCTTCGGACGCTCCTCTGGATCGTTCTTGTAGATGATTCTATTAGAGCCAGATGCTGGAGGGTCCTGAACCTTAACAAAGTGCTCATCATTCCAGGTGTTCATGCCGTAGTCTTTAAACCTCTGGAGCACCTTGTTCCCTAGATAGTCATCTTCAGGAGAACCAGCTCGGTGGCTCGGTTTAGAAAACTCACTGGAACAGAACATCAAGAACAGTTTTACCTCTGCAGAGTAAAACTAAAACAAAGAGATACGAAGAGATTAGGAGGACGTTATGTTCACCTGAAGGCCGTTTCTATTTTGGCAGCTGTGAGTCTTTGGTTGAGGAGACTTTTGACTTTGTCCCAGTCCATCAGAGGAGCAGCACCGGTCTCAGGGGCAACGGCTCGTTCAAAGGGAAGAACAGAAGCAGAGCAGACAGGAGAAGTCTCTTTTCTCCGATGAGCCGTGTAGCCAACCAATAACCCTGGAAGAATCAGTGGTCTCTACTTAGCAAAAAGAAGACTTTACGGTTCAGAAGCAGACAGAGATTCAGCCACAAGGCACAGATTGAATTCACAAATCTTTAGGTCACATTAAAAGAGATTTCTGTGCAAAAACATTTTTAAGTCAGCAAAAAGCTGACGGAAAAAGAAAATGCAGATTTTTTTTTACTCTACACTTCCCTCTTACCAGTGATGAAGAAGACAAGGGTAGTGGCTACCATGAAGCAGAAGCTCTTAGCTGTGTGTCCACATTTTTTAACAACACTGAGATTGTAATCGGAGTTGTGATGTTGGTGAACTCCCCCAGCATTTCTCTCATTCTCCACCTCCATGTCAGACAACAAACTTATCTCAGCCTGGATGTTGTCCCTATCCATGGTTTTAATCCAGTCATACAGTCTGTGAAAAAGATAAACAAAATGGTGGAAACAATATTTTATTATTGCCATTTTTACCACAGACCTAGATAAACTCATATCTTTGACCACCGTCACGTTTCCAACACAGAAGCCTCATATACTCAGCTTACTCGAGGCGTTCCCCAAGGTCCTGTGCTTAGCCCAGTTATTGTTTTTACCTTCAATATGCTTCTCCTGGGCTCATTATTAAGAAAGATAACACAAGTACTCACTGCTATCAGATTATAGCTACAATGCCATCAGAAAGCTTATCAGTTTTTCCACATTTCAATATGTTACAGCTTTGTTCCATCCATCCATTTTCTTCCACTTATCTGGAGTCGGGTCGCGGGGGCAGTAGCCTAAGCTGAGAGGGCCGGGCTTCCCTCTCCACAGCCGCTTGGGCCAGCTCTTTCGAGGGAATCCCGAGGCGTTCCCTAGCCAGTGGAAGGACACTGTCCTGGGTCTCCCTTTAGATCGCCTCCCGGTTGGACGTGCCCAAAAACCTCACCAGGGAGGAATCCAGGAGGCATCCTAATCAGATTCCCAAACCACCTCAACAAAGCCCTACAACATCCAGAGCCTCAAGGAACTCTGGGGAGATCTCATCCACCCCCGGGAGCCTTGCCACCAAGGAGCTTTTTGACAACCTGAGTGACCTTGGTCCCAGAGACTGGAGAGCCTAACCCAAAGTCCCCAGAGTCTGCTTTCTCACTGAAAGGGATTGAGGAGGTCTTGAAAGTATTCCGCCCACCAATACACAACGTCCAGAGTAGAGGTCAGCAGCACACTGTCCCCACTATAAACAGTGTTGTTGGCGCACTGCTTTCCCGTGCTGAGGCGCCAGATGGTGGACCAGAATCTCCTTGAAGCCGTTCGGAAGTCTTGTTCCATGGAGTCACAGAACTCCTCCCACGCGTTTTTGCCTCCGCGACCAGCTGAGCCACATTCCGCTGACTGCTGACAACCCATCAGCTGCCTCTGGAGTCCCACAGGCCAAAAAGACTTTGTTCATCTTGACAGCATCTCTGACCCCCTTGTTCCAAAATGGACTAAATTCTACACCTAAAACCCCAGAAATGAAATTGTGAAAAAAAAAGCTTATCTTTTTTACCAATTTTTGCTAAATAAGTTTAAAATAAAAACACTGAGAAATCACATGTACATAAGTATTAAAAGCAGCTGAAAACGTACTTGTTCAAGCTGGCTTTTGCGTGAACTTCTTCAGCATCCTCTCCTTATTCTGCCTTTCTACCTTATTCTGCCTTTCCCGGGATCCACTGATTTCCCTCTTTCCTATTCATTTTCTCTCTCCCTTTCCTTACATTTTTAATCACTATTTTTTATCTAATTTTAAAAATATTTTTAATGATTTTTTAAATTCTTTTTTACATTTAAATTTTTGTTTTTGTGAAGGGCCTCTTGATTTTTATCTTAAAAGGTGCTACATAAAATATCATTTCTTTCTTTCTTTCTTTCTTTCTTTCTTTTTTTCTTTCTTTCTTTCGCCTTTCCCATTGTTTCTTTCGCCTTTCCCATGAAGCTCAAAACTGAGCCAAGCTGCTTTCTGTTTCCACTGGTCATCCTTGAGATGTTTCTGTAGCTTATTTGGAGTCCCGCTGTGGTAAATACTGCTGACTGAGCAGGATTTAGAAAGGCAGACACTCTCCCAGCATATGCCTCTCCCAGCTGTCCATTGAGGATGTCGAAGACGGGTGGATATTCGGCCTGATGATCACTGGATTTCTCCTGAATGGAGTGGGAGGATATCTGGTTTTCTGGAAATTTGGGAAGACGGGAGCGATTGGAGGGCGACCTGCACACACGGAAAGCACCGTTCGTGTGGAGACTTCTCAGACTGGGACGTTACTCGAGGTGAATCGTAAGCTGGACAATGTTCTAGCTGCGATACCGGTATTAGTGCGCGGTATTAGTGCGCAAAATGGATGTAATCTAGGAGAGAGTCACCGGACGGTATGGACAGGTTTAAAAACCCAAAATTGGCTTCACTGAAGGACTGGAAAAGATCAGTTTAAAGACTGAAGGCAGAGAGGAAAATTATCTCAGCCTGACCCAAACAAAGTCTTGTTATCCAAATCTGGCACGCTGGTAGCCTTGAGCGGCTAGCAACAAACCCCCACGAAGGAATGCAGACAGATGCTGTGAAAACCCGACCTACACCCCCCACCCCCCGCCTTTGGATTGGTGAACTTCAGCCTGGCGAGGTCATCAACCCACAGGAGTCAATGTGCTCCTTGCTTCTCCCAAGATCTCCCACCCACCTGTGGTTACAGTGGCTGAGCGCTGTAGGTGGCTGCTCTCGCTGGGGGAAACAGGATCCCAGATCCCCCCCCCCCCCCCCTCCTATTGGAGTCTCATGTTATGTTGTGTTGTCTGAAGTCTGTTGCATATCTGTGAGGTGTTTTTTTGCAGAGCAAAGCTGCCCTCCTGCTGGAGGGTAACTCAAGTGCCTTTTTTTCCCTCCACCTGAACCAATCCTCATGTAACCCTCTGATCTCTATTAAGGTAGCGCGACTCGGGTTGTGAATGACCACAGTCACCAATTCTTGTCATGTGTCTTGCCCATGTATGTCTGATCTCTGAACTGTGTGTACTGCAACTCTAATTTCCCTCTGGGATTAATAAAGTATCTTTGATTTGATTGATATAAGTTCATGTCAGAGCACACGTCAAGCTTGACTCAAATAAATTGTCTGTAGACCTCTGAGACAATATTGTCTGTGGAACAAAACCAGAGAAGGTTACAGAAACATTTCTGCTGCTTTGAAGGTCAGTGAGCACAGTAGCCTCCATGATCTGTAAGAGGAAGTAACTGGAAACCACTAGAACTCAGAGCTTTCTCCTAACCCATGCATCATCGCTAAAACCAGAAATAATTTTGCTGTGATGCTCAAAAATGGATTTATGCATTTCTTACTTCTAGGTCTGATCACTATAAGTCCTTGTTATCTGGATGTTCTGAGGTTTCTCTGATACATCTTCAGCTGGTTCTAAATGCAGAAGCTAATGTGCTGACACGAAGAAAGGATGGAGAAAACGTCTCACCAACGCCCGTTCGCTGGCTCCTGTGACATTTGGAGTTCTTCTCACTTATAAAACTGAGATCTGCGACTGAAGCTGGCTCAAAGCTTTATGCTGCAGTGATTTCTGATTGTTATTGTTCTCCTTCTCCGTTCTGTTCAACAATCCCCAAATCTCCACTTTTGTCTATAAGCTAAACGATTTATGATTTTATCATTGTGTTTGCTTGGATTTTAGTGGATTAATCTTTTAGCAACGGATTGAACATGCACCAAGTTTATTCAGCTAGATTTACCTTGATTTTACTCTAGTTCTTTCTTTTCACCTTGATTTTTATGCCTGTTTTAAACAGGACTAAATAATTCTTGATCAATGGGGTGACTGGCTAAAGGATAGATGGATTAACAGGTTTTACAAGTGATGAAAATCTAATGAAGGGTCCTTTTATTTCTGTCTTTTGGTGTGTGACCCCCCCACTCCCCCCATCTCTTACTGCATCCTCTCTGAAACCAACAGCAGCACTGGTTCATTTCATTCATCATTCTTGTATGATAAATTGTCCTTTGAGCTTTTGCAGATAGCAGCATGTTCAGGGAAGGACCGTCACATGTAAAGCATACTTAAAAATCTAAAATCACAGCCGAGCATTTCTCCTACAAACCCCTGAAGTCAGCGCAGCAGTAAAGTGAACTTACAGTTGTTGCTTTCTGAAGGCTAAACCTGAAGCTGGCAGATGACTGGAAAGCTGCTCCACACACAACTCCTGAGCTGAAACGGAAACAGACCAGCATCCTGTTTCCGTTTGCTTGTGGGGCCACAAAAATGGAGCTCAGCAGTTGTGCAACTGGGTCTGATTGTTTTGACTTTCTTAGGCTGTTTGATCAGCTGCTGTGAAACCGACGCCAAGACGAATGTTGGCCCAGTCTGTTTAGCTGAAGTCATGGGTCAGGGTGGGAGTAGAACACGTACAGAAACATACCACAGAACGATGAGCTGAATTACTGGATATCCAGTGAAAAAGTATTTTCCTCTCAGATTTCTGTTTTATGATTTCCTTTGTTTATAGTTTGTATCCACCACTTGATTGATTGAAATGTTCATTTGAACATAAGACAAAATATTTTTAAAAATCTATGAACATAGAAGAGGAAATATATACCAATAAAAAGAAGTCTTTGTCCAAAGGGAGTAAGAAACAAGCGCTTATTCAATCCCACCCCCTTGTCTCACAAATTACCGTCTATACTATACATACATATTTATATACATATGCAGCTACTAATGAGAGCATTTTGTATTAACATTTTATGGTACTAGTGATAGTAGTAATAATAACAATGATAACATCAACAACAGCAAAATAATAATAATGACAGTTTCCAGAACCTCAGAGAACCTTGTTTTCATATCCATTATCATTTTTATAGTGATTTAATTTTGTTTATTTGGACAGTTTGTGTATTTCCTGCAGCCCATTCCAGTTTCACACCACATGCTGATACACAGAAACTCCTTTTAGTGGTTCTTACCCTAGGCATGGACGTAATTTTGGGGGGGGGGGGGGGGGGGGGGGGGGGGGGTGGGGGTGGGGGGAGTGGGGGGGGGGGGGGGGGACCGGTCCCCCCCACTTTTCCAAAGTCAAGTTTTGACCCCTGCACGTTTTACCATCCAAAAACAATATTACGCTATATTAAATTGACACTGGTTTGAGCTCTAGGACCAAGCGGAAAACCGTTTGTGTTGAAGTCTGTTTCCATTAGAGTCTACTGTAAAGATCCCCCCCCCCCCCCCCCCCCCCCCCGTGCCCCCCACTTCTAAAGTGAAAATTACGTCCTTGACCCTAGGCGTTTTAAAATGTTTAGTCCTTCATAAATTATATCCCTCATCACTCTGGCTGAAGAGCTTCTGAATATTAGGTGGCAATAAGTGCTGACTAGCTTTAAACATGATTGGAGCTGTTTGATAATGAACCAGGTTGTAGCAGTCCCGGGACTGAAGAAGGGGAAAGCGATGAGAGAGCCTGGGCTGGTGCAGAGATTTTATTTCTGTTCATCTGAAATTACTTCTGATGAAGTCAACCATCAGACCGTGAAACTGTACAAACGGTCAAAGGAACAATGGTTACAGCAACCCAAAAACTAAAATAAACAAAATAAACTCAATATTAATGTCCAAACATGTGTTAAACATGTACCTCCATTCTGATGTTTGTTTGAGGCAAAGTTCCATCTCCTAGCTCAGCCAGGGCGTGTTTCCTAGCAGAAAGTTTTTTCTTCTTCTGGTGTTTTATTGGCGGTCGGCAAACAACGAATGGTGCATCACCGCCACCAACTAGTGTGGAGTGTGTCTGGAACAGGCGCTCACAAAAATCAAACAGAGAATATATATATATTATATATATATATATATATATATAATATATATATATATTATATACTATATATATATATATATATATAATTATATATATAATTATCCCAAATATCCTTATCTCTTTCAAAAAACTGAAAAACTGAAATAAAATCTGAAAAGTCACTCTTTGAATAAAGTTTTTTTCTTTGCCTACACAGCTGTGTTTCATACGAACTAATGAGCAACTTCTGGTTTCACACAGGATCAGTCAGCTACTGATTAGACCAGTGGTTCCTAACCTGGGGGTCCGACCCCCACAAGCGGGGCGCCAAAGCCTCTCAGTGGGTCGCCAGGACCTCTCCACTTTTAAGGGGTTAAAAACTTCATTACTTGTTTAAAGCCTACATTGTGCTCACATTTTTTTTTCATGAGTGAAAAGTTTACTGATATTACGACAGGAAGTAATTAGTACAGAAAAAGTAACACAC